CCACATCGGGGGACGTAGCGGGGGCGGCCCCGTTGCAGACTGTGAGCACGCGCAGGGTGCAGGCGTCCTCGGGGAGGCTCTCGGGCTCGCGGCGCGCCGACTCGATGATGAACAGGTTCTGGATGTACTTCTCCGCGATCGCCAGCACCGAGTAGGGCAGGTTGTACCAGGTGTGGGGCGGCCGGGTCTCAGCGCAGGCCATGGCCAGGATGGAGCCCCAGGAGAGGAGCCAGGAGCCCGAGGCCGTGCCCACCAAGAGGTCGGCGTCCAGCTTACGCGCCGGGTTTTTGGACTCGTCCAGGGACTTCTCGTCTACCCTGTAGATGCGGATGCCCAGCAGCCCCGCAGCGCCCATGAGCAGCAGCAGGGCGATGGCGTAAAGGTAGAACATGGCCAGCGCCGCCTCGCTCTTGGCCTTGGAGCGGCCGATGTGCACCAGGTACACGGCCATAGCCGCAGCCCAGCGCGCCGGGGCCGCGCACCGTCCACGCTGCGCCCGATGTTCTTCCAGAGCACGAAGAGCATGCTGGATGCCAGGATCTGGTACTCGATGGTGAACGGGTACAGGTAGTACACGCCCTGCAGCAGGGCGGCGCACAGGCGCGCGGGCGAGCAGTTGCACGGCGGAGAGTGGTCGTCCAGCTCTAGGCGACAGATGGGGTCACCGGGGAGGTTCATGGAGGGGTGCGGGTCCGCGAGAGGGGGTGAGGGGCGAGAACGGGGGGCGTTGTCATGCCCAGCAGGGAGGGGGTCTGCGCCAGCAACCAGAGTTAGAGAAGCAAAAGGAAATCACTGCCCCTGGGCTCGGTGTGCAGCTGTCCTGCTGGCTAAGCCGAGAGCCGGGAATCACCGGGGCAGCCACCAAGCAAATCCTATTCTCCCAAGCTTCACAATCCGACGCAGCCCCTCTAGGCAGCACCACAGACCCGCACTTGCTGTCCTGCAGAGGTGTTCAGGGAGAGGCCGGCGAGGGAAGCAGGAAGGAAACAGGCTAGGAGAATAGCTCCCTCTGTCTGGGAAATGACAGGCGAGGTGTAGCTCTCCTAGGGCTTTGCATCTCTGTATTATCCAAAATTGAGAATATGATTTGTGGTCTGATCTTTTGATTGGGTTTTGTTTGGGTTTCTGTTGTTATTTGGTGCTGGGGATCAAACTCAGGACCTCCTGCTTTTGAGGCAGGCGGTGGAACCACTGAGCTAAAGCCCCAGCAGCCGTCTGATCTCTTCATAGTTGTTTGCCATGCTCCCTTCTGCTCAGCAGAGGCTCCTCTGAAGGCCGGAAGGCCGGCCAGTGTGGCAGGAGCCACTGCCTGCTAGAAGACACCAGCCGCAGAGGGAGAGAAAACCCGGCTGACAGTCTGATACAGGTACCGATTTGTGGGTCCCAGAAATGGAATCAAAACATCAGGGAAATCCGTGTGCGATGGAGATGGGGAGCTTAATGTTCAACAATTTAGAAAATAAGTGAATCTTGGCACAGCCATACAATGCAATGGCAATTAGAAATCTATAAGCAAGCCGGCAAGGTGGTGCATGCTTATAATCCCAGCACTCGGGAGGCTGAGGCGGAGAGATTGCTGCTGAGTACAAGGCCAGTGTGAACTACACAGCGAGACCCAGTTTCAAAAACAAAGAACCCAGAAATTATAATTAAGATGTGTTTTACTGGTAATGCATATATTAGCTTCAATTGGCCATTCAATATATACATATTTCAGACTGATGTTATATGTGAGATACACAATTTTGTCATTTTAAAAATAAGTATAATTTGCCAGGCGTGGTGGTGCATGCCTGTAATCCCAGCACTCGGGAGGCTGAGGCAGGAGGATCACTGTGAGTTCGAGACCAGCCTGGGCTACATAGTGAGTTCCAGGTCAGTCTCAACTACATAGTGAGACCCTGTCTCAAAAAATAATAATAATAAATTAAATTAAATTAAATAAACATATATTTAAATGCTGGATGGGCAGGGAATTTAGCTCAGTGGTTCCCCTACCTGCCTCACAAGCGCAAGGGCCCAAGTCTGATCCCCAGTACCAAAAATAAAGAAAGAAAGAAATAGATAAATGCTGAATAAACCCCTACCCAGTCACAAAATCAATTTAGAGGTGTGGCAACCAATATTTTTCCAAAGAATGCAACCTTAAGGGAATAAAATAGAGGCAGAAAGGGTGGATGGATTCAAATACCCTAGGGATTAAAGAGCACCTGTTGGAGGAAGACCAAGCAAGTGCGTGCTGAGAACGAGAGCCGACACGTGCAGTTTCCAGCGCTGCGCTGCCCCGTGTCCCAGGTTCTCCCAGCCCGAACATTGTAAAGCAGGCGTGACACACTGGAAACACTCAAGATTTGGGAAGAAAATGCAAAGAGCAACACTAGCAGCTCTCAAGTAGGAACAAGGGAGAAGACAGATGGGCCAAAGTTATAAGCCGAGTGCAGTTAAATAAAACTTCAGATGAACTATGCCCAATTAGGCACAACCTACCATTAGACTGAGGGGGGTTAAAGCCATACTTTTAGCAGAAAGCTCTGAGCACAGAAGCTTCATTAAAACACACCCAGAAACAGCCACCTGTCCTGCAGTCGAAAACAAGGACAGCTCTTTCTCTAGCAGACCGGGCCCTGGGAAGCGGGTGTGCAGATGGCAGCTGGGCCTGGGGGTCGAGTGCCCGCGGGGCCCCTTCATTACGCTCAGGGCGGGCCCCAGGCTAGAACACAGGACAGGAGGGCCGGAGGGCATCGTGGGGGACCCTCGGTTCCCCGGTCCCGCCCACCCCTCTCGGTCACCGTGGGCACAGCCAGTGCCTGGGAGCCGTGTGGGAGGAGGCCCTCACCTATCGTGATGTTCCCGAAGCCCAGCGTGATCAGCCGCGCCTTGTGCTCGTTCAGCTGGTGCTTTGACTCGTTCAGGACGCTGTTGGCCCACAGCAGCAGATTGGTGAACACCGAGTGGATCACCCCGAACCTGGAACGCACAAGGGTTCGGCTTTTGTGTATGTGTGTGTGTATTTTTGTTTTTGTTTTTGTGGTATTAGGACTTGAACTCAGGGCTTTTGCACCAAGCTACGTCCCTAGCCTCCTTTTCTATTTTGAGACAGAGTCTTGATGAATCATGAAGTTGCCTGGGTGGGCTCAAACTTGCAATCCTCCTGCCTCAGCCTACCAGAGTGCTTAAATTACAAGCATGCGCTGCCATGCCCACTTAAGGACTCAGACCTTGAGCAGCCCTTGGAAAGCTCTGAGTCCCTAGGGTGTGCGTGTCTCACACACACACACACGCACACACACGCACTGCGCGACTCTGGCTTCACCTGACGGCTCAGGCTCTGGGCGGTCTCTCACTTGGCCTGGTCTTGAATTCGCCAGCTCTCCACCCATCCAGGCCACAGGACGTCAGAGGAGCTGCACCTTGGAGGCAGAGTTCTAGGGAAGGAAACGCACTGAAGATGAGCGGCCAAGCCTGCAGCTCAGCCGTCTCCCAGATGGAAGAGCGGGAGAGCACAATGAAGGGCAAGGGCTCCTCTGGAATCCGGACCCTCGGCGTTGACTGACTGACCCGACAATCATTTTCACCCTCCTCTGCCTTCCTCCCTACATTCAGAGACTCTACAGCAAGCCAGACACTTGCTACTTTCCTTCCAACTAGACTTGGCCTTTCTGGCCAAAGCAATGTGAGAGGTAACCTGCGAGATACTACTGAAAAGCTTTTTTTTTTTTTTTTTTGAACAAAAGATTTAAGAATGAGACAATCCTGTTTATGATCTCTATCTCTGTTTTTAACAATCTTGAGTATAACATGAAGGCTGGATCTGTGGCAGCCATTTTGTGAGCATGAAGCAAGCAGCATGGGATAACGCCCTACCCCTGAGGATAGAGTATGGACCTAGAAAATACCTGCACAGTGCTGGCATTGATGCCTGTCTGCAAGCCCAGCTGGGATCTGGAATTAGCCTATGGTCACATGCAGAATAAGTGGCCACACCAGGGTTTGAAAGGTCAGTAAATAGAGGTGCTTTCTAGTCTGACTCAAGTATCCTTCCTTTTCCTCTCTGCCATGCTGCCTCCTTCACAAAGAAGGTGAACAGGGGTGCAGAGGAGGATGGACACTGGGATGTCAGAAACACAAGTCTGGGGGAGAAAGACGTGGTCCCCACAGGGCTTTGCCCACTGCAGTTTCTCTCGGGAGCAGCCGCCAGCCACACTCACCTCTGCGGCCTCCAGGGCACTGAGCCCGCGAGCAGCCATGCAGCAACCTTAACCCTCACCAGACCCTTCTGCCCCTAACTACCATACCCAGAACCCTCTGACCCTAACCCGGACCCACCAGTGGACAGCAGCACAGCGGGGGCCGTGCAGCCCTGTGACTTGAGAGAGGCCTCCTGGAAGCTTCCTGTGGATCTGCTCACCGGAAATGGGCTCAGAGGCCTGGAGGGCAAGGCTCCCGCCACGGCAGGCCCAGCAAGTCCCCACGCCCACCCGTGAGCTGCTTCCGGGACAACGGCGCAGCAGTGTCTCCCTGACCTCAAGTTCCTGCGCGTCACACAGGCAGCTCCTTCCCTCAACTCCTAGTGTCCCTGGCAGCTGCTGGTGTCCAGGTGAGCAGGGGACAGACGGCAGCCAGGGCTGAGGCTGGTGTTTGCCCATCTGCTCCCTCCTGCCTGCCCAGGCTGCAAATCACAGCCGCCTCCCCCGACGCGGTTTCCTCCACCTGGTGGCTTCTCTTTCTCTCACAATGCACAGCACCACCCTTTCTTTTCTTCGTCCTGGTCCAGGCCGCACTGTCCAGTCCTGGGTCCACTGAGGCCGAGGAGGTGGCCCTGGTGCTGCCCGGGGCCGAGGCATTTCTCACCATACCTGCTCCCTAGAGCGCTGGAAAGACTCCTGCAAGCCAAGGCCAGGCATCGTTCCCTTGCCAGGGACCCTCCACACTTGGTGCTCACTGTGGTCAGGTTTCCAGAGCTGTTTCTTTGTTTGAGGGTGGGGCTGGTTGAGACAGGGTCTCACTGTGCAGCCCAGGCTGGCACCATTGCCCTGGGGGACAGAGCTTCCACTTGTGACTTTTGAGGGGCCACAGCATTCAGTCCACCCCTGCGGCAGTGCGATGAGTGTTAGATTCTACTGTAGACAACAAGTTTCATCGGGGGAAATAACTTTTTCTTTTGTTTCGTTTTGCTTTTTTGCAGTACTTGAGATGGAACCCAGGGCCTTAGCTGGAACTGCATCCCCACCCCTTTTTATTGTTTTCATTTTGAGACAGAGTTTCCCTAAGTTGCCCAGACTGGCCTCAAACTTGCGATCCTCCTGCCTCAGCCTCCCAGAGTGCTAGAAATACAGGCATGCACCACTTCACACCGGCTAAAGGTGCAGTTTTTAAGGAATAACTCGGTGGAGTAGCTAAGGTAGAGAACCTCGGACAATGGTAGCCAGCAGCATCATCCTGCTGCAGCCAAGCTGGCCTGGAGGAGGGGAGGAAGAGCCGGCCATGCCCCTGCTCAGCCCAGGCAGAACCAGGCCTCCTCCTGTGCTATGGCACTGGGACAAGGCTCCCAACCAGCTGGAAACGTGTCCTCAGCCACTCAAGGGAGACAAGAAGTCACCTCAGCTGCCTCTGCGCAGGTTTAATGTGCTGACGGTAGCGTGGGGGTCTCTGACCCACCCTGAAGGCCAATAAGTCACCTCCCATGGTGCTGGGGGCAGCACCTCATGCGCCCTCCCTGTCCGCCCTCCCCAGCAGGAGGTAGGCTCCAGGCACGGTCCAGGCTGAGGTTAAGGTCCCCGTGGCGGATACGGAGCACCAGCTCCGGCCACAGGCCCCGTCCTGGACTGCAGCACACTGATCCCGCTTTGCGTGGTGTTGGCGGCATCCGTTTCCATTTCCATAGCCTGTTGACATCTTCACCCAGGGCGGTGCAGAAATCAGCCTTAAACAGCAGCTGTCAACTTCAACAGGAGGAGGGGAGTTTTCTGGTCCTCGTGGAGAGATTACGGGACCAGGGCTCTTCGATCCAGTCTGGGCTGACCCCAGGAGGAACGGAGGCAGCGGCCAACAGGCAGGCTCACTTTCCAGGCCCCGGGAGCCATCTCAGGGTCTGCGATGGAGTGTGACCCTGTCCCGGTAGTGTGTGTCCTACACGAACACCCAGCCTACACGCAAAGCCCCACAGATTTTACCTTTCCAGTGTTTTGAAAGACTGGATAATGTCCTTTGCGTGGCCCCATAGAAAATACACCTGGATGGAAATAAAAGGAGAAAAAATACATCAGTGGGAAAACTGTCATCATTATGCTGCACAGAGCAACATAAAATGGTTCTGAATTTTTTTTGGGGGGGTATGGGGGAATCGAACTTGGGTCCTTGCACTTGCAAGGCAGGTGGCAGAACCACTGAGCTAAATCCCCAGCTTGGTTTTGACTTTTTAAAGTGAAAAACTTGAAATAGAAAATTCTGTGCTTTACATCTAAAGCCTTGTCCAGACTGTGTACCTTTTACAGAAATAAAGGGAGTAAATCAAACAATAATAAGTGCTGGCTTCCACTGATGGCCTAACAGCGCAGTTATTTTCTCTTCCAATATTTTCTGTAATGTCACACTATATTCCTAAAGTACGTGCTTTTTAAAAAAAAATGACCATTGGCATTAAGAAAGAGGGAGGGAAGGGGAAAGGGATTTTTTAAAAAACAAGCTGTAATACGGACACTTGGCCACTCCCCAGGATGACCGTAAACTGCATGAATTAGACACATGTACTAATACATAAAACGGAATGAGGAAAGAGCTCAGAAGGTACGCGGGTTGCTCTCCAACTCTCCACCTGAAGCGACGCCTCCCACTGCCTCAGCTCCTAAGGTGTGGGGAAAACACATGGGAGCCGCTGAACTACTTCATTCCTTTTGGTGGGCTGGTAAATTCATTGTTTTCTTAATTCTGTTTTGGGGTTGTTCATTGCTAGTGTATAGAAATAAAGCTGATTATAGAACACTACTCTTCACAAAATTACCATTGGGGGGGGCAATCCCACTTCTGCATATATATCCACAAGAACTGAAAACAGAAGCTCAAAGAGATGTGTGCATGCTTGTGCTCCGATGGCCCAAAGCTGGTAACGACCCAGTGCCAGCTGACAGATGGCCAGGACACAGCCTCAGTGCCCATCAGCTGGCGAAAAGAGAATGTGGTACTTACACACCATGGAGTACTGCTCTGCCGTAAAGAAGAACACGCTTGAGCCATCTTAGGGAAATCGATGTGGCTTTAGGACTATCATATTAAGTGAAATAAATCAAAGCTGAAACACTGCAGGGTTGCCCTTATATGAGAAACCCAAAGAGTGAAATAAAACGTAGATGACAGCAGTAAGGAGACAGAACTTCCTCAAACGGGAAGGGGACCAAGAGATAGAGGGAAGGGAGGGAGGACAGAGAAAGGGGGTGAAAAAGAAATTGAGGGGTTATCGTAGGCACCAGTGCCACACAAGCAACGTAGACAGTATGTGCTACGCGCATGCATTAACAGAATGGGAAATCTTCAAAGGGAAGAGACTCTGACACAAGCTGATGTGTGGCTGGGCCAGGCGGGCACTGCGCCCCCAGGAACCGAAGGACGGGGCCGCTGGACTAGGACACCCTGGAAGAGGACTGGGGCGGGGCAGGGGCCGGGCTTGGGCGCTTAACAGAGACAGAGATTCCGAAAAGGGCCAGAGAAGCTCCGGGAATGTGGGATGGCGGGCAGGCTTGGCGGTGAGTGAGAGTGCGTAACACCGCGGAACGCGCGTCTGCGACGACTGAGGCCGTGAACAGTATGAGCAGCCACTACGATTGGAGACATATTCTTAAACATTTTCTGTTTTAAATTAAGTTTATTGGTACATTTTAGAGATACACAATGATCGCATTCATCACAGGGAATTTGTACCTGCACATGATGTATCTAGATTCTCATTTTTTCCCATTCCCCTACCCTTCCTTCAACCTCTCTTCCCCTCCTTATTTTAAAATATATTTTCCTTTCATCCCACCACTCAGGAGGAGCTCAGTGAGTGTGAGGCCAGCCTGGACTACACAGCAAGAATCTGTCTCAAAAATAAACTCCAAAAAAATAAGTAAATAATTTCCTTCCATTCTCCAGTCCTCTTGTGTAGCAAAAGGACATAGGGAATATCCAGTAAGTACAGAATGACTAATTGATTGACTTATAAAACATCTTAAATGAGAAATATAAAGATATTCGACCCACCAACTAGAATAATGTCTTGAAAATTCATTTGTTCCTCGGCCTGAAGCCTTCCATGGCTCCCGGAGCCCTCGGGGTGAGGCCCAAGCTCCTACGTAGCCGGTGGCCCTGAATGACCCCTGCTGCATGCCAAGTCCTGTGCAGTGGGGGGATCTCGTGCCCCACGATGTCCCCTCTGGATGCTCTCTGACCTGCGCCCCTGTCTTCTGTCGCTATTGCTTCCCCGCAGACACCAGCCCTCGCCCCGGCTGGCGAGTGCCCCCTCTGAGCGTCCCATGTGTGCCTGTCCCCATCTGACTAACGACCTGCACAGGCACAGGCCCTGGCTCCCCACCCCACACTCCCAGCACCAAGAACAGAGTCTGCCTGGTGCCCAGGATGGAATGGGCGAGTGAATGAGCCAAAGAACGAGGGCTTTCCACACGGGCATCACTCGAAGGCCAGGCTACTCCAGAACGCCCCCTCGGGCAGCACACAGGGCACCGGCTTACCCCGCAGCGCTGCAGGCCGCAGGTCAGATGTGAAGGTGCTGGCGGGGCGGGCTCCCGGGGCCTCTCTCCTTGGCGTGGGACGGTGACCTCGGCTGTGTCCTCACGCGGTCGTCCCTCTGTGCGTGTCTGTGTCCTGATGTCCGCTCCCATGAGGACACCAGGCATACTGGATCGGGTCCACGCGGCGCCCTCGTTTACCCTTGAGTCTCCCCCAGAAGGGCCCGGCCCTGACGTGTCAGGTCCGAGGCATCCAGGATGGGCCTTCAGTGCACATTTGCCAGGACAAGACTCGACCCGTACCTTGCAGCCTCAACGTAGCCACTTCGAGGAGCCCCCAGGAGAACTCCTGGCCCAGGTCCCCATCTTACACTGAGCCCACTGCCCCTGAGCACCTTTGGCCTGTCCTGCCCAGCCCTACCCTACAGGCTTCACCACTCTGGGTTACATCTGCTCCCCAGAGACATCCACGAGCCACCAGCACTGACTGCCAAGTCAGCGGGTGCATGCGCTGGACCTGGCACGGAGAACGAGTTTGGAAATGGCTTCTTTCCCTTGCCAGAGGTGGAAACTGTTTCTGAAGGACACTTGCAGGCTGGGAGTCCAGAAATAAGTGAGCCAAGACAGTGTTGCTGGTCCAAGTCCACGGCCTTCCAAGGTGACTTGGAGGAGGAAACCATCTTCGCATGTAGGCCGTAACTGAAGGGGACCACACATCCTCCCTGGATCCAGCTTCCTCCCTAGGAAACGTGAGGCTGGATCCAGACCATGCGGTGGACCTCGAGGATGCTCTGCAAAGTGGCAGCAGGCAGACAGAGAAGACACCGCACAGGCTCACTCCAAGGTGGGTCAAACACTAAGACTCGGAAGGGGCAGAAGCAGGGAGGGAGGGACGTGGTGCACGGGATGGAAGGGGAGTCATGGCTGCCAAGCTGTGCACAGGACACAGGGCGGATGAGACTAGAGGCCCGACACCGGCTGGAAGTGTGCAGAGAGACTGGATTTCAGGCGCTGGTGCCAGAAAAGAAAAAAAAGGGAGGGAAGGAGGAAAAAGGAAGGAGAGATATGAAAGAGCAGACATGGTCGTTTGCTTGATCACAGTAATCACTATGTGTATCTGTATTGAAACATCATGCTGTACACCTTAAATAGGTCAGAAGAATTAAAACGAGAGTGATGATCCAACGCCCGTTCTTTTTTACATATTTTATTCATTCACATACTTGTACATGTTTATGTAGCGCAGCGTGACCATTTCAGTTCATGTTTACAATGACCAGTTCAGGGTAAGTGGCCACCTCAAACACATCTCTCTGTTAGGAACACTCAGGATTTTCTCTGGTAGCTACTTTTAATATGCAATTAACTGACACAGCCAGGGTCCCCCTGCCACACCAGGGAGCCTTAGAATGAGTCCTCCTGCCCAGATGCGCCTGAATCCACCAGCTGTCCTCCCGCGTCCCTCCCTCACGCCCTTCCCTGGCTCTGGCAACCGAGATTCTGCCCTCCACCCCGTGAGAACCACTCTGTCGCATTTAAGTACAAGTGAGGACACGCGGTGTTTGCCTTTCTGCACCCGACTTGCCTCACTGAACACAATGCCCTCCAGTTTATCTATGCTCCTGCCACAGAAAGGACCTCCTGCTTTGCACGGCAGAGTAATATTCCACTGCGCAGACACACCACGTTCTTTATCCGCATGTCTCCCAAAGGACAGCCAGGTAGATTCCACGCCGTGGCTTTGTGAGGAGTCCACCCTGCTCCCATAGAACTGCTGCAGGGTCATCAAACGGATGAGTGCAAAGCGCCCTGTAGAGCCCAAACGCTCATGTAACTCCCATAGCTGTTCCGAGGAGTTTCTGCTTAGGGTTATGCTACATCAGGAAACCCCATCTAAGATTTGGGGTTTTCTGTTTGTTTGTTGGTTGGTTGGTTTGTGTAGCCCAGGATGGATCTGACCTCACTATACAGCCCACGCTGGCCTCATATCTGGGGGGCTCCTCCTGCCTCTCCTGAGTTCTGGGATTACAGGTGTGTACCACCACAACTGGCTTCTCGAGGATTCTTTTTAATCATGTGATTTTTCTGGCGCTAGTCTACATTTTTATATTATGTCAGTCAAATCCTTACCTTTTAGCCACCCCAATTTCATCAATGCCCAGAAGAAGCACCTCATACACATCTAAAAGATTTTAATCTGCCACTGAGCAAACAAAAAAATATACCTCAGGGATCCAGAGGAGTGACCAACCTGACCCCAGACCCCTCTGGGGAGTGATGACAATGTTCTTTAAAAAAGAAAGAAAGAAAAGAAAATGCTTGTAAATCGATGGTAGGAGCCAAGTGTGGTGATGCATGTCTGCAATCTCAGCACTCTGGGAGGCTGAGGCAGGAGGATGGCAAGTTCCAGCCCAGCCTGGGGAATTTAGCAACTTAAGGAGCTCCTGTCTCAAAATAGAAAGTAAAAAGGGGAAGTGGGGATGTAGCTCAGTGAGAAGGCTCAGGCTTCAAGTCTTAATGCAAAAAAAAAAAAAAAGAAAAGAAAAGATCGTAGGGTTGACTGCACAATTCTGGACAGACCAAGCCATTACAGTAATGCCTCAAATGGGTGAATTACAGGATATATGAGTTGTATCTCAATAAAACTATTTATCCCCAGAAAATAAAATCCCCAAGTCTTTGCCAGTGGACTCTGGCTAGGCACAGTGCCCCACCTCCCCATTGTGCCTCACAGGATCCCCGCAAAGAAAGCCAGGCACAGAGTCCTGCTGCACAGTGGGGCAGCGGCAAGTCTGAGCCCCAGAGACCCCGCCCAGGGCGCCTGGGGACTCTTGAAGCCCCCCTGGGGTCATGGGCTTGTGCGCATTCGGGACAGACTCCACAGACACAGACAGCATGAAGGGCTTCTGAAGTTTACCTGCAGCAGCGTGTGCACTGCGTGGGTGACTGGGAACACGCCTTCCGCGGCCGACAGACACTCGGAAAATCCAATGAAGTAGCCAACTTTGAAGCATCCCAGGATGATGGTTATGACGGCAAACAAGGTGACACTACCTGAATGGGACACACACATACACACACGTGTATGTCAATGCGCACAGACCTCAGTTCAAAATGAATTGTAGTGAACCCTCACAGGTGTGGCCAAGGGTGCCAAGACCACTCAATGAGCTATGGCAAGATTTTCAACAACTGGTGCTGGGAGAACTGGACATCCACATGCAAAAGAATGAACTTGGGCCAGCACTCAGGAGGCTGAGGCAGGAGGATCACTGTGAGTTCAAGGCCAGCCTGGACTACATAGCAAGTTCAAGACCATCACGAACTACATAGCAAGACCCTGTCCCAAATAAATAAATACACACACATATGTGTAAATAAAGTTGGACCCTTACTTTATACTATATACAGCAATTAAATCAAATGGATCAAAGTATTAAAGCTAAAAGTGCAAGACTAATAGAAGAAAATGTAAGGGAAACTTCATGACATTGGATTAGGCAATAATTTCTTGTCTATGGCAACAAAAGTACAAGCAAAAAAAAGTAAAAATATATAAATTAAACACTATCAAAATGAGAAATTCTGTGCATCACAGAACACTATCAACTGAATGGAAAGATGATCCACAGAAAGGGAGAAAAATTTGCAAACTGAATCTCTGATAAGTCATCAAAATCCACACTATATAAAGACATCTACAGCTCAGGAGCAACAAAATTTAAAATAGGCAGAAGGTGTGAACAGGCATTTCTCAGAGATGTAAGACAGCCAGTGAGTACATGAGAAAACTCCTGACTTCAGGAGTAAGGAGGGAAATGCCAGTCAGAGCTATGGAACCACCACACATCCATCACAACGGCTAGTATTGAAAACATAATAAACAAATGCTGCTAAGGATTGCAGAAATTGGAATCTTTGTGCCCTACCAGTGGGATTAATATGGCCACTGTGGAAAATGGCATGGATGTTCCTTCAAAAGCTTAAAATTACAGCAACTCCATGATGCAGCAGTCCCACTTCTGGGCATTTACCCGAAAGAACTGAAACAGGAACACCCACTTGCCTAACACAGCTGCATCATCGTACCACAGCAAACCAAGAGTCCAGTGACAGCTGAGTGGATAAAGAAAACGCAGTCTACAGGAGGAAATTCTAACACATTCTCCCACGTGACTGAACCCCAGGGGCACTGCGCTGACCTAAGCCAGTCGCGGGAGGAACAGCCAGATTCAGAGGCTGAGCAGAAGGGCGGCTGCAGGGACGGAGGAGGGTTGGGAGCTGATGTTCAAGCGAGGGCTGGCTTCCACCCTGCAAGATGAAACGCGCCGGAAGCAGCAGCAGGACAGTGTAAATGTACTGGACACCACTGACCCGCCCACTTGAAAATGACCAGGTTGGGAAACTTCATGTTGTGTCTGTTTTACCACGAGTGATAAGTTTTAAACGTGTTGATCAAATAAACCCTGCCCTTAGGCTGACAAGGTAAAACTAGAAGACAGGCACTGCGCCCTGCTCGTCTCTGCGCCCCCGCGCATGCCCAGGGTGTGACAAATGGCAACCACCTCTCACCCTCCGCCGTCTCGGGTCTCGACGTCGCCCGGGTCCCCGGTAAAACCCGGCATAGCATTTGCGTATAACCTGCACACATCCTCCTGTATACTTTGGATTGTCCCCAGATTATTCACATCTCCTCACAACCTAAACGCCACGCACGCCGTTGCCATGCCGAGTCGTCTAAGGAATAACAACCGGGAAGTCTGCTCGTGCTCGGTGTAGCTGCAGCATTCTCCCCCGGTTCGCGATCCGCAGTTGGCTGAACTTGGGGACATGGGGCCCATCCACCCAGACTGCCAGTTGCACTGCCAGGGGCAGACAGGAAGCATGGCTCTGACCCCAAAATGAAAACAAACCACGAATATGCACGTGAAAAAATACAGGTGGGGAACACACAAAGCGCCCTGACGAAACACCAGGCGCAAGGGAAGGACAGAGAGGAGGAAGCAGGGCGGGTGGTCACAGCTCCTCTGGAGCGCACGTCCCCTCGAGACCCAGGAAGGGGCCGGGTGAGCCGGGCACTGGGGCGAGGAGCAGGGAGCAGGGCCGGAGCGGGTGACGATGGCGCTGCAGCCCAGGGGACGCCCACAATGACCCTCACGCAATCGCCTGGCTCCTTTCCACTGCTCGGAGCCTGACACGAGCAAGCCCGTTTCTTTAAATCCTGGAGGAAGCCGGATGAAACCAGAAACTGAGAGTGGAGACTCGGCCCCAGTGTTTTGAACTGGTTTGATACATACAAGGTTCATTTTCACTCTAAGAAAACAGAGGAAAAGGCGGGTAACAAAGCAAGGAGACGCCCCGCTGCTGGGGGGTGCAGGAGCCCTGTCCTGGAGCCACGGGATCCTGGCACTCAGCTGTGTGACTTCCTACGGGTCGCTGCCCCGCTCTGGGTCTCAGTTTCCCTCCGACGAAGCGAACACAGTCCACAGCAGTGGGCCCGGAGGAGTCGCGAGAGCACACACAGCCGGGCTCCACCTCCGCGCCTCCCATCAGTAGGTCTGGGGCAGGGCCCCAAATCTGCACCAAGGGCGCGGCTGCTGCTGCGGCTGGTCTGGGACTCCGCACAAGCCTAGAACGGCTCTGCGGTTGATGTACCACGCATGAAAATACAAATACCTCCTACACCTCCTCCTCCTCTTGAAGCTCCCCCTTCCTTCGTTCACCCATTTATGCCTACAGCGTGGTTCGATTGCCTCTTCTGACACTTCGCGCGCTGGAAGCTCAGACCGTGTGAGGTGGAAAGGCCGCGGCTGTTTGGGAGGTGGGGCCCTAATGGAAGGAGCTGGTTCCCAGGGGTGTGGGCCTGGGATGCTGGTCAGTCCTCTCCAGACAGAAGATTGTTACAAAGCGAGGTCGCCACAGGATCCCGGCCCCTCCTCCACCCAGCGGCTTCCCTTCCACGGCTCTGCCCTGTTAGGATGCAGCCAGCCAGGCACCCCCGCCAGATGCCACCGCGGGGCAGCTGCCCAGCTTCCGTCTTCCGCCACTTAGTGGACAACCTCAGGCAATTATTTAGCTTCTCGGCGCCTTACTTTCCTCAACTGTGAAATGGCCGTGATGGTGGAAAAGCCTATCTCCGGGGGCACGGAAGAGATGAAGGGAATCAGCACAGGGCATTGTCCCAGACGGTGTCCCCACCTCGAAAGCTCTGCAGACTGGATGCTGTCATCACTCAGCCACAGAGAAAAGCTCAGTGGATTAGGCCGGCCACACAGAATAATCCAGCAGCCGCCTAGGGGACCGCCGGTGTTGGCAGAAGGAAAGCTCTGCCTCTGCGAGGAAGTTCTTCCTGCTCCTGCCCCGGAGCTGCCTGCCACCGGTTGGTTACCCATTCATCTCCCAGACCACCACGGACTGGGTGATACAACCCCCACTGCAGGAGTGCCGGGAAGACGGGCAGGGCCTAGAGCAGGCAGCCCAGAGCCGCACTGGCCCCAAGGAATCAGGGAAGGCTTCCCCTGCCTGTCACCAAAAGTCAAAGCTGGGGGCCAGGGATTTAGCTCAGCAGCTCCACTGCCTGCCTTGCAAGCGCAAGGACCCAAGTTCAATCCCTGATACCAAAAAAAAATAAAATAAAAATAAAAAAAACAAAGAAAAAAAAAAGAAAAAATCAAAAGTCAAAGCATGTTCCAGAGCTGACAGGCACAGGGCTGCATTTCCTACCCTGTGGAGGTGTGCTCTCTCTCTCTCTCTCTCCCTCTTTCTCTCTTTCTCTCCTGGGGATTAAACATTTGCACCAAGATATAGCCTCAGTACTTCTTAAATTGTCACTAAATTGGCCAGACTTGAATTGGGATCCTCCTGCCTCAGCCTCCCACAGTGCTGGGATTACAAGCATGTGCCATCATGCCTGGCTGCATCCTTCTCTTTTCTGGACTGGACACCTTTTCCTTCCTCCTGTGATCACATTGCTGTGACCACGGAGCAAGCACCCCCCCTCACATACAGCCTTACTTTCCTTCCAGTGGAGACCAAACCTGTATCTGCACTTTTGACAGCTATGTTCTCTTGCTGTTGACATCCTGACCTTGTGTTTATCTTCTAATCCCATGCAAAAAGAAAATGCATGAAGTTGAGCAAGACTCCCGGTCACGGGACAGGTGTTGGGGTCCCTTCCTGTCAGGAGCAGACTGTCTCTGCTCCTGTGCTGTGCTGGATGCTGCATTCGCATGTGGACATCGGTATTCAGCTTGTTACAGCCAGCACGTGTGAAACAGGGCCGCCCTCCCGAGAGCACACCCATCCCAAGTCCACTTGATGCCAACAGATCTCCCAGTCCACAGCCTCACTCCTTTAATCTCAGATCCCCCTGCAGGCAAACTGATCATTCTGAAATGAGTCACTCCCTTCCTTTAAAACCTCCCATGGCTCCCTATGGCCCACTGGACAAAACCAAGGCCCAGAGCCTGCTGTGAGAGCTACATCAGGCAGATCTTGCCCGTGATGCAGTTGAGCTCCCCTCCAGTCCTCTTCCGGGGACCTGTCCCGCTCCCCAAATCCTCACCTCCAGCCCAAGCATCACACTGCTGGCTCAGTGTTCATTTCCCCACTGTGACACATCCCTCCTACTGCTGAGTGCTGTGTGAACGAGCTCGCTGATTCTCAGAACAGCCACGTGTGGACAGCAGCACGTCCTATTCTACAGGTGGGGAACTGAGGCAGAGAAGCACAACGCCATGTCCCGCTCCCCCCGTCCCCTCTATACTGGACGAGGGCCATTGCCCTTCCCTGCCCAGAGCCCAGAGGCTGCACAGATGCAAACCTAAGGCCAGGCCCAGCCACAGGTCTATGCATGCCAGGCATGGCTCCCTGCGTGCTGCCCTTTGTCAGGCCAAAGGTCGCCCTCCCAGTGGTGATGCCCGAGGCAAGATGGAAGACAGGGTGGAGCTGGGCCTTTTCTGAGAAGCCTCAGAGCAAGCTGTGACACGGTGGCAGGAGCTTGCCACACCAGTGGAGGGACAGCAGCTGGGGACACGGACTGTCCTGTCCCAGCAGCGTGTCTGCAGGAAAGCGAGGCTGTGCAGTTAGGGCGGGCGCCTCATTCTGGGGGAGAAACAGTGAAACCTCATGCTCCAGGTGCACTGCCTCCCTCCGGAGGGAGCGAGCAGGTGTCAGCTGCAGGCTCTGGGGACCACGTTGGCCGCCACCTCCTCCTGTACCCCAGAAACCCCCATGGGACCCCCAACCAGCCATGTACTGTCCCCATGAGTCCCGACCACTTGGCGGGACTGTGTTCCTTCTCCGCGCTCCCACCAGCTCTCTCTCCTCTCTTCCTCCATTGGGCCATCGTCCCTGCTCACACACACACACACACACGCACACACACACAGGCACACACACGCACGCGTGCGTTCTAGGTATATCCTCTCACCCACCCCTTTCAGCAACTTTCATTTTCTCCTGGAGCTGGGAACAGCCTGCTTCCAAAAATGAGTCTTACGTCTCCACCTTCAACGCCACAGCCTGCCCTGTGCCCCGCCAGCCCAGCTCCTGGCTGGGCTCTGCTAAGTGGCTCACTTCTGCCCCTTTACCCCTAAAGGGCAGTCTGGCACACAGAACAAAGGTGTGATGAATCAGACAGGTTGTGCTCATTTTAAGTTTTAAAAAATGTGAAAATCTGAACCAATAAAAGGCATAAGTTTGGGGCGCACATTCATGCACAGAAATCTATACCAAACCCCTGGAACAAGCCGGGCATGGCAGTGTAGGCCTGTTATCCCAGCTCTTGGGAGGCTGATGCAGGAGGATGGCAGCAAGTTCGAGGCCAGCCTGGGCTACATAACAAGATTCTGTCTCATAAAAGAAATTATTGGTTCAGGGCTTGTAATGAGCCCCAAATTCCAAATACACTCAAGAGAGGTGGCTGTGACACTTCTCAATGTTGTTCCACAGCTTTGCATTAAAAACACTTCTCTGGCCTTGAGATAGGACAGAAACAATTTATACACACACATACACACACACACACACACACACACACACACACAACTCTGCTACACCATCTTTTAAATAAGAGAAGCTGGGATATTTATTAGGGGACGTTAATGAATGATCCTCTGGGCATCATCAACGCCACACACTCTGGGCAGGGAGGAGACAGCCAGGCTTCTGTCCCCGCTACAATAAATCAAACCCTTTACTTAGCGAACAGAGGGGCTGGGCTACTAATCCATCCTCACCACCGACTTGTTTTAAAGTAGGCCTGTGTTTTTCGCTCCAAAGAAAGTCTTCACTGTCACACCCAGGAGGAGGGACGACGGGACCCTTCCTGCTCAGAGAGGCCTCCAAGTCCACACTGAGAGTCAGACCTTCTCTAGAAAGCTTTACTCCCTGCCATTTTCTGGAACTGAGCAGACCTGCAGGGACAACTGGGTAGAACCAGTCCCAGGTCAAATCTGCCTTTCCGGTGGGGGAAGCCTCAGCCCCAGTGGGGCTCCAGTGCCTCCCCCGCCTCATGCTGTGCCTCTTGGTTCTTGCTGAAGCCACAGCTGTCCAGGAACAGCCAGGCACTGGAGGACGGGCACTGATCTCTCTGCCTCTCCAGTTCCTCCTGGGTGGGACAATTATCTTACCCCGGAGATTGGACTCAGGTGGGGGGGTGGCAGTGACAATCTCAGGGCCAGCCTGCAGGGCCCACCCCGCTGCCACAGTGCACACTCCTCACTGAACAGGTGTGACTCTGGACCCCTCACCTCAGGGTCAAATGGCATCCGTGCTGAGATCTGAGCTGCCCCACTGGACACGCCAGGGAGAAGCCTCTCCGTGCTCACCCGGTCTGCACTCTGGCTTCCAAGTCTCGGAAAAGGCATGAGCCTGGCTCAGGGTCAGCTGGGGAGGGGTGAGAGGAGGCTCAGTGGGGTACAGGAAGCGTGTGAGGAAGGAAGGAGGGGTGGAAGGGACGGAGGAGGAAGGGAGGGGCAGAGAGAGGAGCTTCCGGGAGGGGGAACATGGGTACTGAGCTGGAGTGCGGCCCTCTGCTGTCTGAGGAAGCCAAAAACTAAACTGAAGGAACTCGGTGTCCTGTCTGCTTCCTGTGCCATACAGTGCACGGCCCTGGCTTCACTGCCAGCCCTCGACAGCCAGAAACCAGGAACCTCGCAAAAACAATGGTTTTCAGAACGGGACTCTGGGCCACCTGGAGCGATGTCCAAGGCCAGCCGAACCCACGGTCCCTGACGGTCACAGACTGACACTGGCTGGGCGGAGGGGCCCTGACAGCAAGCAGTCAGGCGGCCCACACACTGACCTGGCCGAGGGAAGGAGGGATGTGGACTCCTGTCTCCAAGAACAGAGCAGGAGGGAAGACGGGTCCAGAGCACCAGGATGTCGCTCACACAGCGGCTTCTCCGCCCGGCTGCCCCACACCCCGCTTCCAGTCACGTGCGTCCCCTTTGACCTGAATCACGTGTCCCTCTGGCCCATGACACGTGTGTCCCCTTCGGTCTGCGTCACCTCATTTGAAGAACAGCCGCCTGACCATCCCGGTCAGTGTGTCCTGTGTCCCCCTAACCCGCTGTCACCCCACTCCCTCAGCCCTGACTTTGCACAGGCCCTGCAGCAGCAGCTCTGGGACACAGGAGGGCGCCGCTGGTAGCGGGCGGAGGAGTCACAAGGACAGGAGTGTGTGCCGGGCACAGCAGGGGGACGCTGTGGTCAGAGCCACAGAGTGGTGGTGGGAAATCTTCCCGGGCTTGGGGCTTGGAATACAGAAGGGCTGAGGGGAGAGGGAAACTGAATCGGCGAAGGGCCACTCTGTGGGGCCTCACGAGCCTGGGGACCCTGGGGCGCAGGGCAAGGGCGAGAGCGGCCACTTGAGGCCACTTCCAGAGGGGCACCCATAGCACCCTTGGGGCTGTAAGCCGGAAAAGCTCTGTGCAAGTCTGTAACTGCAGCTCCAGGGAAGGGAAGAGAGAGCTGGGCAGCCTCATGCACCCAGATTTAGGAAAGAAGGAGAGAGGAGGGAGCGCCAGAAAGCGCCCAAGGGAGGCCGAGGCAGGAGGCGGCGGCGCACTCACCGCGGAGCCAGCGAGCCCCGGCGTGCGCATCCTTGGGCCGGATGAGGTGGCGTTCCGCGTAGCTGCGGCCCACGTACCACAGCATCCAGAGCAGCTGCAGGAGCATGAGCGCGGTGAGCAGGCACAGCAGGTCGCGCTTGCCCACGCCCGCCGCGTGTACAGCCCAGGCCAACAGGAACAGCAGCCCGGCCACGAACACGTTCAGCCCGTACTGGCTGCTCAGCGCCTCCGCCACCTTCTGCGGGACGCTGCTGCCCCGCTGGGGGCCTGGGGAACGCGGGGGCGGCGGGCAGGACGCGGGGTCCGGGGCAGTGGCGAGCGCCGGTGGCGGCGAGGCGGGAGCGCCCCGGCTCTCGGGCATCTTCCAGAGCGGCGCCTACTGTGCCCGCAGTGCTGTGCCGCCGCCTTCTGGCTGCTGTCCTCGGCCGTTCGCCCCCGTCGCCGGCCTCCCCTCTCCGGCCCCTGCGCCCTCCCACAAGGTCTCCGCCCCGTGCGCGCCCTCCCGCCCGCTCTCCGGGACACCCAAGGAGTCCCTTCTCCGCCCTCTCATACCCTCTCTGTCCCAGCTCTGATCCCTCACTCAAGGCCGTCCCTGCACGGTGCACCCGCACTCTGTGCGGACCCAGCACCTGCTCCGCCCCGGGTGCACAAAACTGCAGACGCTGGGATGGCAGGGGCGGACGGGGTGGGGGTGGGGGCCCAGGATCCCCCAGCGCCAGCCCCAGGAGGCAAGGGAATGGACGCCGCCAATCCGGGAATTCCGAAGCCATCTGGGTGCTCCCAGCCGTCCCTGTAGTCTATAGCTGAAAGTGTGTGTGTGTCCCTGTGTCCCTACACCTGCCTGTCCCGCCCCGGAGCAGGAGGAGCGTGCTCTCCCTAGGGTAGAAGAGAAGGAGTCTTCTGTGGGTCTGTCTGTCTGGGGGGCCAGGTGGCCTGAGCCACTTCCTAAGAAAAGAGCACACCCTCCCCTCCCCCAGGGGTAGGGACCCCAGTGCCTCCAGGAGCCCAGCCCTGGGGTCCCTCCGGTGCAGAGGTTGAGAGGAGAGGCTAGGACCCCCAGGGCAGTGGGAGAGGAGTGCTGGGGGCCTCCTGGGTGAGCGCTGTGTGACTCACCACCCCCGCCCCAGGGGTTTACTTCTCCCCAGCTGCCTGCCCTCTTGGAAGAGCTGGATTTGAAACAAGGGGCCCCCAGGGAGTATGCACTAAACCAAGCAGATTGCAGTAGTAATCTGACTGCTAAAGGTGGGAAACTCTGGACCCAAGAGGAGGCAGGCAGAGGCCTCGCCTTCATTCAGTTTACTCCATCATTGACCCACACATTCTCACCTGTCCCGGGCACTTGGGATACAGCCATGGAACACTGTGCCCTCCAGAGCTACGAAAGGCCAGCCAGACTCAGCAGGCAGCTTCTCCGGTGCCATCCCAGACAGCCTGCCCAGCCCTTGGAAGTGGGCAGAGCGCAGGGTGGGGGCGGGAGCTGCCAGGAGGGAGGTGCTGCCTGGCAGGAAGGCTGGGAGGTGCCCAGAGGCAACACCTTTGAGGTCTTCATGCAGGAGGAGCTGGGCACGGAGAGGGCCTGCCAGGAAAGCAGCCAGCCTGGATAGAGAATGTGAGATGACCCGCAGACCCAGAGACCTGTCCACCTTGTCCTGAGCCTTAGTGCATGGCCCTCGCTGTGTCCCAAGAGTGAAGGAGGCCTGGGTCTCCTTGGCAGCCCATGAGGGCATAGAGCAAGCCACAGGCCTCTCTCTACACTCTGTCCCTTACCTGCTTTATGTCCCTTCTTAGAATGCATTACCTGCACTGTGCGGAACCTGTGCCCTATCTCTTACTTGGCAGCAAAAGCTCTATGAGAGGGGCTTTGTCTTGTTCCCTGCTGTCTCCAGCTTACAGAAGTGTAGTGCCCATCACATAGTAGGTCTTCAGGAGAGATATGCAGTGTGGATGGATGGATGGATGAGTGGATGATAGATGGGGGATGGAGGGATGGGCTGTCTGGATGGTGGACGGATGGATGGATGGGTGGATGGATGGGTGGATGGGTGGACGGATGGGTGGATGGGTGGATGGATGAGTGGATGATGCCTGAAAAGAGAAGGCCCTCGAATATCTGCCTGATCTGTCTTCTTCTGTGGCCTTTTCCCCTCTCCATCACCCCTATTTCTCACCTATCACAGTAACTTTCTTAACCATCTTTAGTTCCGAGCCCCCTAAAGACAGAAGTACATCTGACTGATTCTTCTCTCTTGCATTAGGCATGAGCTTTTCTTTTTTTTTTTCCAGCCCTCTGGGGACAGCAAGGTGAAGCTCACAGCTTGTGCCATGGCTGGCAGATGCCAGGGACCCCACAAATGCCTCAGGCTCCCATAAACATCAAACCACTTGTGTTCCATTTCAGGTTTCACAAGGCACATTCCCATCCATTACCTCTCTTTCATGAGTCAGCCCAAAGCCACACGGACTTGCAGGAAAAGGCAGCATCAAGGGGTGGACAGGTGGGGGAGGTCTTAAGTCAGTCTGCAGGATTTGGATCCAGTTCTGTCCTTCCACATGGGGCTGTGATGCTGCAGCTGTCCACTCTGGGGTGGTGGCACCCTGTGAAGCAAAAGCACCTGAGAACTTTCCCTGAGCCTTTTCTGCCCACGGGAGAATGTCAAGTGACCACCGATGTGGGTTAAGGAAGGGAAGCCATGCAGTGGGGTCAGTGTGCATGAGATCTGGGCCACCTACAAGTACAGCTCACTTGTTCACACACCTGCTCCAGTCCAGGCCCATAGAGGCCACTTCTGTCTGATAATGTATTGCTGTGGTGCTCGCCCAGCTTATAGCTCGGTGAACCAGATGACATCTGGTTCACATGGGGAGCTGAGGTCCTGTGGTCACATCTCATGAGTAGTGAGAAGCTGTTTCTCCAGAGGGAAGGAGTTATCTGCAGAAGAGGGTCTGGGTTTGCCCCTCAAACCCTTGTGCTCTGGGCTGTGATCCTCGTGCAGGTCCCTGCCCATCTTCATCCAGCACCACTGCTTTCCAAAGTCCACCCCCCCACATCAGCATCACAGCGTGGCTGGGTTTTTGGACTGCAGCAGGCAGAAAAATGGTACCCAGAGATGTCCATGCTGTTTCCTGATGATTTATTTTGTTATGCTTTAGAGCTAAAACACCCCCCAAAAGTCTCCAGTTTCAGAGGTGTGGCTTTTGGAAGGTGATTGGATTATGGGGTGTAAAGTCACCAGCGATTTATCCATGGATGAGTTCACAGAATAGTGTGCAGTTAGGACCTGCGACAGATGGAGCCGGGTTACTGGGGTGTGACTGGGAAGGGTGTGTTCTTGTCCCAGTTCCTCCCGCTCTCCCTCTGCTTCCTGGCTGGCGTGGGGGAGCAGCTTTCTTCCACCATGCCCTTCTGCCTTTTCTGCCTTGGAACCAATCGACCATGGACTGAATCCTCTGAAAACTGAGCCAAAATAACCTCTCCTTCTTTAAACTGTGGGCGCTTTTGCAGTGATGGGAAAGTAACTAATACATTACATTATGAGGCAAAAGGAACACGGAAGATGGGACCTGGGACCTCGAAATAGACTGTGTTGGGTTACCGGAGTGGGTCCAGTGTAAGCACAGAGGCCTGTGAGAGTGAAGGAGTGAGCGGAAGAGTAGGTCAAAAGAACAAGATAATGCCGGAAGATGAGGGCAGGAAGTCAACACATAAGAGGGACAAAAACTGCTACCACTGGCCCTGAAGGTGGAGGAAAGGAGCCGCATGGCAAAGAATGCAGATGGCCTCCAGAAGCTGAGCGTGACCCTCAATGGCCAGGTAAGAAGGGGCGATGTTGGTCCTACAAATGCAAGAGACTGAATTCTGCCAACCTGAAAGCAAGGACAGAGATCCCTCCAAAACCCCAGAAAGGAATGCAACCTGGAAGAGCCACCCCGACTTCCACACGCAGCACTGAGAGAGAATCCATCTCTGTTGTCTTCAGCTGCTGTCTGTGGTAACGTTTACAACAAAGAGCCAATGTGGATCCCCGCTCCTGGTCCCAACCACTCTGCTGCGGAGAACCCAAGCTGCCGCACAGAGGTCCATGCGGAGAGCGACGGCCGGCCGGCCACCATCTTGGGAAGACACTGCACGAACACAGGTGCAGTTGCATTTTCCAGGCTGCAAACAAGTCGCTCCCACCAACTCTACTCAGGTCTCAGATTCCTGAGCAGAATAAATGGAGGCCGTTGTTTTAAACCACTTCGGCTGGGTGTGGCTTGCTAGGCAGCGATACGTAACCAGAGCACACAGTGGGAAGGAGTGCAGAGGAGCAGCCACCGGGAGGCTGGCTAACGGAGCTGAAGGGCGCTCAGAGGGTCCCAAGGAAGACCATGGGGACTGGGCCACGTTCGGCTCTGTGGCTGGAAGGACGCTGGACTCCGGGTCGGGGCCAGGGGCAGACAAAGCTCCTGAGACCCTCTCTGGGCCTCTTTACACATACATGATGGCACGTTATGTGCTCTCCTTGACGTCCATGTCATAATGCAATTTTTTTAAGGGGCAGGAACACAGTTGAAGACGAGCACGGAGAACTCTTCGGTGTTTTGCTGTAAAGGGGACCAAAGCAAGGGGAACTACCTGGAGGAGGATGAGGGACCCCATTTTGTTTCTTCATTTGGAGATGGGAAGAGTACAACACATTTGCTTGCCAATAGGGACAATCTATCACAAGGAATACTGTCTGTACTCGAAATGGGTCCCCAGGCAGGTCTGGACCGGATGCCCTCATTCCCAGGGTTTCAGCCTGGAGCCCACTCCAACCCCACACACTGCTGCCTGACCCCGCTCCCCATTTGAATGACACTGACATCTCCCCAAACATGTGCACCCCTGCTGGGTTGCGCCGTCTGGACGCCCGACCCATCCCTAGGCACATGTGACCTGCTGTGAAGTTCCCGATCCGATTTGAACTTCTTCCTCTCCATTACCGCTTACTGCATGAGCACCTACTGTGTGCCAGGTAGTGTCCCAGGTGTTCTACAAACGTGTACAGGAGGGTCGACCCCAGGGTGCACACTGCCCCGTGTGCACGTGGAGAACATGCTTCACGACTGAAGGCCAGCAGCCAGCCAGGGGCAGCACGGTCCACGCATGGTGACGGCTCAGTCGCTTTGCAGGAAAACCACCACCAGGTGTGCTCAGCTTTGCCCGGCCGCCACGGCAGCTCAAATGCGGAGGGCCTGCGCTTGAAAATGCAAAGCCTACGGGCGTGAAGTCCCCTAAGAGCAGCGTAACCTCTGAAGAGAAGCCTTCGTTATCGCTGCAGCTAACTCAGTGTTAATAGCTAAAGGCACAAGCTACGCCAAAGTCTTATTTATAAAACGCAAAGAAAGTTATAAAAATATTTTATTTAAATGTCACAGAAAAATACATACTTAAGAGACTCAAAAGTTCTTATGTTAAAAATGCCAAAAGTCCAGTAATTTACACAAAGGTAAAATCAGAAGTGATGAGAAAACATACAATATTTCCCCTTGGTCCGACCGCCTAATGCAACTACTATAAAATGAGACAGTAAAGACAGCAGTGGGACTGAAGGCACGTGACACCAGAATTCCTCTGTCCACATCCGGGCGTTTAGGACCACAAACTGCTCCCCTGCAGGGGAAAAGAGCAGCATGGATTCCAACCACTGGTAGCATGTTAATGCACCTATAATGAAACCGTTACTTCCTCCAAAGATTCAGATTAACTTCGGAAAATAGTTATTTTTATATAACACAGACTTCTGAAATACAATCATCACTTGGGTTTGACAATATGCAAAAGAAATGCACTTTATTCTCCAAAGTTGCAGTTTTTCCCAGGAGACCAGGCAACACTTCAGACACAAGGATACGCTGCAACCTCTCCACTGTCCACGATGCTCTCAGCAGGCTGGACATCCGATCATTCCTGTCCACACCCGCAAGCCTGAAAGGAAACCAGCGTTCACATGCCGTGTGAGCACCCTGTGTGCAGCTCAGGACCTCACCGGAAAAAGGCACGGTTCCAGCTCGATGCCCCTACAGCACGGTGCTCTCCATTATCCAGGTCGGCGGGAAGCTCAGCGTCCCCGGCTCTGAGAAGTCAGAGCCACAGAGGTGTGTGGCCAGCAGGAGGCTGTGGAAGTCGGGCAGGGAGAGAAGTGCTGAGCCCTGAGCTGCTTGAGCAGCACCCATGAATGGGCACAAGCGGCCACTGCAGGAAGTCCCACAGGTCCTCCCACTTGGCATGACGTCTGGGGACACTGTCCACGTGACCATGGTCACGGTGCTAGCGACTATTCTCAGTCTGGCAGGAAGGGGACTATGTCCACATCTTCACAGTCAGACGCTCCCTTCAAGCCCAAGGGAGCGCAGGGCAGTGCTCAGTGGGCACGGCAGCCTCCTCGGCTCGGCACGTCACTCGTGGGCGGCAGAAACCCTTCCCTGGGCCTCGCCTGACTATCTGGACAGTGCTGCGGGAAATCCATTTCCTCCACACTGGGACACAGCGTAACACGGGAGGGTGTCTCTCTGTCCTTCCACCATGGCCCTGAACACACAGGGTAGGGCAGTCAGGCAAATACACGTTTCTCTAACACACGGCTCAGAAACCCACCCCACTGTGGAAGGTAGCAGACCCGGCAAGGTCTGAGCAGTCTTTACACAACACGGGAAAGAGAGGCTGCCCTGCCATCCACTGAATCTTTATGAGGCAGCCAGGACAGATGGAAATTGTAGGCATCCCGCCCCCGAAGTTAGGTCAAATTGCCCACGTTTCCAAACCCCCCTGCCTTAAGTTTTCTGGCCAACTATACCGCTGTGTAACTTAACAGAAGTCGGCTTCGGTACGAAACCGCCTCATGTGAGAACTTAGCTACGATGGGCGGTGCGCTGCTACCTCCAGCAGGTCTCTGAAAAGCAGGGCGCCTTCTCCGAGAAGTGGCCCTGAGAGCAAATTCCACATGAGGAAAGAGCCCAGTGGGCGAAAGGCTCCGGCGCGAGCACAGCCGAGTGACTCAGGAGTCCTCTCCAACTGTCGGGAAAGACCCTGTTCCCGTGAGATCGCCCCGAGAAACGCCGCTCTGGAGGTCTTACCCTTGGCTCATCCAAGGAGCGAGATAAACATGACGACCCCCATGAACTGTGTGAACAGCAACAGAGGAGTGAAGAACGACCACACGCTCCACAAAGCAATGTTGAAGCTGGAAGGGACCAGAAGGCGGTGAGAGTTGATGACTGTAACTTAACATCTGCAAATACATTTTACGAGAGAAAGCAGATTTAAAGAGCTCAATGTGAGGAGGAGGCTCATTCAGCAGCAGTTTTCTAAGCATCCATCATTTCCCCGATGCGTGACTTAGGCAATGTTAGAAAGGAGACACTGTAGGACACTCTAGAACCGCACCTCTTCCTGGAACCGGATCCGGGACAGCCTGTAAGAGGAGCGGGCCCAGCTCCACAGAAACTGGGGCCTCAGAGGGGTGCAGCGGCTTTCACGCCTCACACATCAGCAGGTAGAAACAGAAGGAAAACAGTGACCGTCCATCCACAAGACACTACTGAGTTCTTCATCGAGAACAATGCCAATTTTTGTCACCAAATTAAAAATAAAACACTAAGCACAAATCATTTTTAATGACTGAATTTAACAGAAGGTAACTGCAAAAACTATAAATAAATAAATTTTTCAGGGAGTTACTGGCTGTAATGTATAATATTTTGATAAATGTGAATTTTAAATAATAATAATAATCCCACTGGTCTAAAACCTGTTTCTCAGGGCAATCTCAGCCGTAGGAGAAGTAAAATCACACAATCACACAAAATCACACAAAAACCGTCCACATCGGTGACAAACAGGCTTCAACTTTAACTGAAATGAAGAAAGTTTAAACTGAATATGTATGAAACTGTATAGATTTTCCAAAATCAAAATTAAATTCATCTACTGCAAGAAAAAAACCGAATAGCTATACACAATACATGACTGGCAGGGTCATGGGATGTGTTTCTCTTCTGTCTGTATGTGACTTACAGTTTTCCTCAGTGAGCAGGTACTACTTTTTAAGCAGAAAAACACCTTTCTTCTTTTACTGAGCACCTATTGACTTACGGAGGATACTTACTGGGCATTGTTTGAAAACAAAAACAACTGTGAGGGCGACAACAGGGACACAGGTAAGGACACACTGGTGTCAGGTGGCACGGCACTCACAGGTAACCTACGCACGTCCTCCCCTGCACCTCAAATGCTGTCTAGGGTTACACCTAAGACCTAACACTATGAAAGTGCTACGTAAACAGCTAGCACACCACACTGCTCAGAGAATGACAAGAGGGAAAATCTGTACGCATGCAGGACAGATGCAGCTTTTCTTCTCCTGGCCACTGTCGGCCGAGTGCACAGCTGCGGAAGCCACGAGCACAGCGCCAGCTGCACCACCACGGTGTGAATCTCAACCCCAGTGCCTATGGGCACACACGTAAACACATGCGTGTGCGCGCGCACACACACACAGAGCAGACTCACGCACGTGTGCCGCAAGACATACGTACAGGAGTGTCCCTCTTCATGGCACCCTTCATAATACTCGACAGTGACAGCTAAACTGGGACTCAGTTATACAATGCAATGCTGAAAAGCAATGAAATTAATGGCACTCGGAAGCCACAAGAACTGTACAATGTCACACACGCAGAATCAAATGTAAAATAAAGACACCACATAAACCCATCTCTATAAAGTTCACAAAAACAGACACAGTGAGCCGGGGGTGTGGCACATGACTGGAATCCAGGCATCCTGGGAGGATAAGGCAGGAGGATCCCAAATTTGAGCCACGCTGGGTAACTTAGCAAGACCCTGCCTCAAAAAAGAGGAGGATTGAACCCAGAGCCTTTGCACTGAGCAGTATCCCCAGTATTCAGAGCAAACAAACAAACAAACAAAATAACAGGCCAGGGATGTAGCTCAGTGACGCCACACCTACCTGGCAAGCACAAGGTCCCTGAGTTCAATTCCCAGTACCAAAACACATATATAAAAAAGAATAGACAGTGCACAAATAGAGCACTTAAGGGATGCAAAAGTAAGCAGTCACTGTGAAGGTTGGGATGGCCTTCACTTGTGGCAGGCAGGAAGACACTGGGCTGGGAGGGGAATGACGGGGTCACCAGGTGCAGGGTCAGACTGTCCTAAGCGGGTGTAGTTTCCCCATGGTGCTATCTCATGGTTAATTCTTCCAGCTGTACATTTTTTTTTTTTCTTGAGACAGGGTCTCACTACGTAGTTGAGACTGACATGGAACTCACTATGTAGCCCAGGCTGGTCTCGAATTCACAGTGATCCTCTTGCCTCAGCCTCCCGAGTGCTGGGATTACAGGCATGCGCCAACACGCCTGACTTGTACATTTGTTGTTGTTGTTTTTTTTTTTTTTGGTACCGGGGATTGAACTTGGGTCCTTGCACTTGCAAGGCAGGCCACCAAACCCGAGCTAAATCCCCAGCCCCTACATTTGTTTTTATACTTATGTGTATGTGTCATGTATCACAATGAGAAGAGCGTCGTCATTGGTCTTTTAATAAACGCCGTCCTCTGTATTTAGATAATGCGTTTACACAGAGAGAACAGAGGCACAGTGGTACCTCAGCTCACAAACCTAATTCATTCCACAATCCCAGGGCAGATGGCCCGAGCTCACACAGGGGAGAGTCATGGTCTTGTCTGTCACCCAAGGTGGAGTTCGCAAATGGCAGCAAAATTCTGCAGAAAGCTTCCTTTCAGGAACCAAACTGTTTGACAACAGCAGCGTTTGTGAAGTGAGGTATTACTAAGAGACGAAGGACAGGAAGAGCTAGGAGACCACTGTCCTGTTACACCCTATTTCTATTTTATAAAGTTTTGGGCCAAACACATCACTACCTGATATGGAAAAGTGCGTTTTAATTCATATTCATCAGGTCCAAGTTAACTTACCAAACTCCCGCTGCGATGAAAGTGGCAGTTGTGATGGGCACCAGTGCCGGATACCTGACATCGTACTGTTCGATGCCACGGTACCACTCCAGGTAGACGATGCAGTAAAAAGCCACGGATAAACTGGCAAGCAGCAAGGCAGTGCCAAGGAGAAACCAGCTGCAGAGACAAAACAGCACAGGCTGAGGGGCCTCGGCAATCAGGAGGTGCTCGGCAGCTTTCACTGACAGCCAAAGGGACGGCTTCCAAAAGGTCAGCGGGAAAAGGGGCGCAAAGGGACCCATAACCTCAGCTTTCTGAAAGTCTCAACCTAATGGGGACAGGGGGAGAAAAAAGAACTCGGGATTAAAGTGAGACCTTACAGCCGCGCCAGTGGCTGAGTTCTCATCGGCCAACAGCCAGAAAGAACCCGGCCATGGCGATGCGTACACTTCGGAGCACAGGGAAGAGGGCAGCTGCCTGGGTGCTCCTGAGGTCCTGAGTGAGAGGGAAAAAGACTGGCAGGAAGGACCACCAACTCCTCCACTGTAAGCAGAGCTTCATGCACTACTGAAATCAATTAGGAGGAGAGACACTGAATTCAAATTCTCTCTCATAAAAGCTGTAAAGGAGCTGGGGTACAACTTCCTGTAATAGCTGGGGTATAATCTGTGCATCACCCCAAGAGTCAGGTGTTACAATCTCGGTTCCCAGTGTAACCGTGTTGAAGTTGGTGGGACCTTAACGAGGAGGAGACACAGGAGTTGACGTTCCTCTTGTAGGAATTCATTCTTGTCCTTGAGGGCCTGCCCGGTCCCTGCCAAGGCCTGGTACCTCCCTTTGGTGTCTCTCTCGCTCTCTCATACACACACGTGTGCCTGTGTGCTCTCTGCACACCCACCTTTCCTTCTGATTCTCCACCATGTTGTGACACAGCCAGGGGCACCTCGCTACTTGGACCTCCAGCCACCAGAAAGGAGCCAATAAAACTTCTTTTCTACACATAAACAAAGCAGACTCAAACACCTCCTATTTTCATAATATCTTCTGTTCTGCCCCAAAGAACAATGTCTTTTTCCTCCCTACAATTCCACCACAGGCAGCTTCTACAGCCCCTTCCTTCCAGCCCCCACTGGTCACGGGAGGTCACATTTGGAGAGTCCTTCCCATCCTCCCCCAACACCTTTTGCTTCTCAGGGGTCTAGATCCATGCTACAGAAAGGGAGAGCAGAGGGCCACAGCAGGCACTGGCTGGAGGCCCCACAATGGCCAAGCTCCAGACTCCTAGGACCCACTGGTACTTCCAAGTAATTGCTCTTGCCCCTGCACAAGCCAGCCCTCCAAGACCAGGTCTGACGGCTCCCTTTTCTGTCTCCTGGGCATCTCCTCATCTGTCGGAGGACCCTGGGGTATAATTCGCAGCCTCCTGCTCCACGCCTGCTCCTGAGATTAGACTAGAAGGATCTCAGTCCCTGTGAAGGAGGGACTATGCCATTCAAAGCTTCCGACTCCTCCTACTGGCAACCTATACACAATTCTCAGTCACACCCTCTGGTTACCCTGCCACTGTGACTCTCTGAAACATACCGAGAGCCAGTTCTCACTGGCTACTTCCTCCCAGCATTCTGCACTTTGTCCTCACAAAGAGCTTTAGCCAGTCTCTTCCTCCAATGTTCTCCAAATGGATTAAGAACTCCTGAAATGTACTACATTTCTCATCGTACAACACATTTGGGCTGAAAAGGCACACTGAATGATCCTCAGTTCCCATCCACCCAGCAACATCCTCTTATTTGTCTTGTTTTCTCCATTTTCCTGAGGCATAACTGACAAAGTGAATTTATATTCAAGGTGTACAATGTGATGATCTGATGTATGTATACGCTGAAAACTGATTACTATAATCGAGTAGATTCACATGCATTACTTCAAGTTTACCACTGGGTGTGGTAAAACCACTTCAAATCTACCCCCCTAAGCAAATATCAGTTATACAACATAGTAACCTCTTCATCTCATAGCCACAAAGTTGTACCCTTTGACCAACATCTCTTATTCTTCTTTGCATCACCGGCACCTCCAACGCGGTGTCTGGAAGAGACTACAAGTTTACTGAATGTCGGAAGAATTCCAAGAAAAATAAGACAAGGATATTTAATGTATGGAGCAAAAAAGTTTTCTTACCTACTGGTGTGGAAGTTTTCTTTAAGGGTTTTAAAGAAATCAACATAATAGGTCACAATGATGGATGCTAAAATCCAGAATCCAGAATGGATATTGAGTCTTGGAAGAGGTTTTTCTTTTGTCTCAACAATTGTAGAACTCTCTGCAAATAAGAAAGATTTCAACTCACTAAGTTATTGAATTACAAAAAAAAATTACACCTACTTCAAGCCAAATAGTCGTTGCCTAGTGCTTCCTAATAACCAGAATCTCTCCCAAAATAATACCAAATTCTCCTATAAAAGACAGGTTTACATTTGCATAATTAATTGGAGCCCACTATAAAATATGTTCAATAAAGCCAACTTATTTCCTCTATGTGAATTTTGAAAGCAAATTCACACTTTTATAATCTTTTGGATACAATGGTGCCATCTAGAATATAGGAATTTTACTATGTTTCACACTTCCTATAGGAGAGTAGTCTTTTTTTTTTAGTCTTATTTCAAAAAAATACCAAATGAAATGTGAGCGTATAAAATGGACATATGACTTTCCAAGAATATATTACAACAAAACATTTTAAACAAACATAATTTTTTTTCTTTTTCTTTTCTTTTTTGTGGTACTGAGGATTGAACTCGAGCCCTTGTGCTTGGCACAGTGGGCAGTGGGACCACCAGGCCAAATCCCCGGCCCAACAAACACCTTGTGAAGGCAGCTCAGACGTGGAAAGGGTAAGCCATACCTCCATTGCCAACACAGTGGTCTCAGTAGATAAAACACATGAACTGAACATGGGACATGAACTGAAAGGTGATTCTGACATGCCTTCCACGTTCATGTAAGAATACTGGGCCATATATGGAGTTCTGGATCTTTAGATGACATCAGAATCTCCAGGGAGCTTGTAGATAACACAAGCTCTTGGAATTATCCTCAAAACCCGTAAATCGTGCCGGAGTATGACAATACTTGTATTTATCTTGAAAAAGTTTTATAACATACACGATAAAAAAAATCTAAAATGAACTCTCTCCTGTCTTTACTCTTAGTTCCTCTGTGCAGAAGCAACCATCACCAACAATCTATTAAATTCTTCCATATTTGATCTACAGGTGAACATGCAAGTTACGTTCTGTGCCCAAATGGTAGCACATAATTCCCTTTGCAAAGTCATCTACACTGGTATATATAAGTCTGCCCAATGTACCATGTGTAAAACACACTCAAGTTAGACGTGATGATGCACGCCTATGCTGTAATCCCAGCATTCCTGGTCGCTGGGGCTGCAAGACTGCAACTTCAACAATGTTGCAACTCAGCAAGACAGTCTCAAAATTTGAAAATTTAAAAATAAGTAAGGCTAGCCGGGGATTTAGCTCAGTGGTTCCGCTGCCTGCTTCATAAGCACAAAGTCCCGAGTTCAATCCCCGGCACCAAATAAATAAATAAATAAAATTAATTTTTAAAAAAATAAGTAAGGCTGAGGATATAGCTCTGTGCAAAAGCCTTGTGTCTAATCCTCCATACCAGCGCCCAAAAAAATCCAAAACGAAATATTTTGCACATGCGTCTTCGTGTAATGGTTCAAACATATATCTTTGGCAAATTCTTAAGACTTAGAACCTATGGATAGTTTTACTGGACCTCTCCAAACAGGTATTAAACCCGCTACCAGGGAAACCTGAAGCGCAGCTGAGATGGAGATGCGCAGGGTTACGTAATCGCTAAGGCTCTTTCAAGACATTAAGTACCCGACTTGCAAAATGACTTCAGAGGTCTTGAAAAATGAAACCCTGCCTCCTCCAGCCTGGGCTGGAGCCGTGACTGGCCACTGCGGGAGGCGGTTTTCGCGCGCCTCGTTTCGGAGAAGCTCGGGACGGCTCGGAACAAGGCCGGGGAGAGCGCCTCACCCCGCCCGGTGTCGCCCTCGTGGTCCAGCCGGGCCTCGGCGTCTGTGGGAATCAGGTAACGCCGGCGAAGCTGCTCCCGAGCCCACGGAGCGTCCATCTTGGCACCGCCCGAAGCGCGACGGAAGTGACGTCAAATATATAGCACTTCCGGTGTCTGCTGACGGGGGCTGTCTCTCAACGCCAGGGCTAGAAGCTATATTATCTTTGAGACTTTTGTAAATGAGAAGCTAAAATTTACCTTTTAGAGTTCGCCCTCAAATAAAAAAAATGGTATAAATTTTAAAATAGTATTGATATTTCCTGGTCTCTAAAATACTGAAGGTTTACTACATTTATTCTGATCTACGGAAGCCCTGAAGGACCACGATTACAATGCTGCGGAATTCATCCAGGGTACAGATGTCCAGCCCAGCGTGCGGAGCTTTCTATGGCCTGCCAGAGTCAAAAATATAGAACATTGTCCTCCATCCAGGCCTAGAGTCTCAACCCCAAGTACCCTTCCCTCCCCTGATTTTCTGGAGTCACCTTGTTACACTGGAAAATGTTGAGTGGATCCTGGGACGAGGAACGGACCGCTGGACTGGCCGAGTGGGCACTGCTCTTGGAAGCAGAGGGGCCGCCTAGGGAAGCAGGATGCAGGCTGTCTCCCACTCGGTACCAGAAGCCCCACAAGAAAGTTGGTTTTTAGAAGTAATGTTCCACAAACTACCCTAAAGAGTGTGCACTAGTGACTGAGAGGCAACTTTACTTGGTTATAATACTAAATTCTCAACCCAGAGAAGAGCTAAAAGCCTCATAGCCACAACAAGGGAATTAGCGACATACCCACAGGGTGCAGCTGCACAGGATCTTCCTAGCCCATGGATGAGTCACCTTCCTGCCCTCTGCCAACACACCTTCCCTGCCCTAGCTTCGAGGAGTCGCGACTTGGGAATGGATTCCCCACGATTTCCCTATTTGCTGCAAATTAATTTTGCTCTGTGTAACAGTTGATTTCCTGTTCCTTTCCACCAAGAAGTGGTGACACTGACCACTTTGCTGAACCTGGGCAAGAAATGAATCTCTCTCTGTTCTGTTTCCCCTCCTGCCCAATGGTAATTAGACCTGCCTCTGGATTTGTTGGACCGTTTAAGGGAAGAGCACAGTCAGTGTTCCTATTAGCCCCCTTCTCCCTGCTTGTGAGACACTACCCCTCCTGGCATCTGGGGACAGACTTACTTTCCGGGCAAACTGCCCTTTCCCATGCGACTCAGCACCTATAAACTGTGTTTCACTAGTTCAAAACTCTCATTATCCATAATCCTGTTCACTGTTCTCCCACTCTTTTCCTACTGGATCATGTGCTGAGAAATGTCACGCTTAACCAAGCGTTTCCTGAGCATTTGCTGTTTGCTGGGAACTGTTAGGCATCACTCTAGGCAGTGAGATGAGTAAGACACTGGCCTCGCACTTAAGGAGCTTCTGCTCTGAAGGTGACCTCGAGGACATACTGCAAGACGATAGAGTATGATATTTACGTGGCAGAAGCGTTTTGTTAATTCAACCAACAGTCATTTCCCAAGCAACTACATGTGAGAAGATAGGACTGAGGGAGGAATGCAGTGGCAGCAATGGCTCCAATACAGTGCCGCATCAGAAACAGTAGATGTGGGGTAAGGGGAGTCCTGAATAAGGGCGGTGTGTGCTGCTGGGCTTGTGACTTAGCAAGGAAGTGATTTGGGACAGGTTGAACTCAGGGCTCCACAGGCCAGAAAGTTCAGGAAGAAACAGTGAATGAGTCAGCAGGTGTGCTTTAATATCTACATGTTGCGGTATTTGTAAAAGCAATGTAATAAAAATATTTAAGATAAAACTCAAGTTACCGCTGATTTGTTTCTGTGATTCTTTAGCCTCTCTACATGTTGTTTGAGTGAAGGACTTAAAGCAGAGATCATATGGCCTTTCTAAACAAAAACTCCTTTTGCCTGTTCTTTCCCCTTTCTTTTCTTCCCAGACTCCTAAAGAACTAAATTCCTCTCTTCTTTACCCTCCCTTTTCTCCTCTTGTATGAGGTTAGAAGTCTCGTTAATAGGAAGTAAATCCTCACTGTTAAACACAGCCTTTTCTGTTGATTGTCTCCTTGAGGAAAGGTCAGCTATGGGTCTCCCTTGTAACCAGATAGTCCCGCAGCATCACAGAGATTCCCGGGTTTCCATACGTACTATGTGCAGGCCAGCTCAAGTTTCCGGTGGTTTCTGGGCCTTTGTGTTTGGACCTGAAATCCTTCCAGTATTTTTCCCTGATATTTAAAATAGTTCTACGTGCACACTCAACTGATGGTACTTAAAATTGTGTTAGAGAAAGTCCAGTATTGATGACCTCATCTTCTTTGCTGGAGAAAGTCCAGTATTGATGACCTCATCTTCTTTGCTGAGGTCCACTAGATAAACTCTTCAGTGTGTGCACTGTGGCACCGTAATTAAGGTTATGTGGCATCAGGTGGCTGCCAGTGAAGAGATGTTCCTTTTTAGTGCACATTACTTGTGGGCAAAAGAATGGATTTGACCACGGCCTTTGTCCTCCCTGTAACAACAGGATTCAGTCCAAGATGTTTATAGACTACGGACTCCTGTCTGAATCCCTATGGGTTCTTGGGCAAGTTATTTCATTCTTCCGTGTGTCGGGTTCATCACCTGTGATGCAGCAGGTACCAGAATCGCGATCGGTGCATACGGACTGCTTAGCACAGAGCCTGGCATAAGGTGTGTTTGGGTAGCAGCAGTCCCATCACCTCTGCTGGATCTGGCTTGCCAGGCCTTCAAAACCTGATGTCCGCCTCCTTTTTTATACTGGGGATTGAATCCAGGCCCTTCTCACTGAGCTACCTCCCCAGCCCTTTTTGTTTTTAGGCAGGGCCTTGTTAAGTCGCTAAGTTGCCTAGGCTGAGCTCAAGCTTGCAATCCTTCTGCTTCAGCCTCTCAGAGTGCTGGGATGTCAGGCCTGGGCCACCGCACTAGCTCTCTGCTTGTTTTTTAATCAGAATTTCCTTGACCCTGGACTCCAGCAACTCTGTCCCTGTCACTCTTCCAGAAAGTAGTCAGTTTTACTGTCATTCTCCCTGTGCCCATGTTCTCCCCGCACTGACCGGGGAACAATCATGCCTCGGCTCCCCAGTGCCTGGCATATAGCTGGACTATCAGCAGCAGCTTTTCCTTTGGCCCTAGATCACAGCTAACGGGTCTTCATCAGATATGCCAGCACCCACACAGCACCCTCTCCTGTGAGAAGCTACTTTTCCTCCTTTCTGCTCAGGTCTCAGCCAGCTGGCCCTGTCCTAGGAGAATCACACAAGCCACACCAGGCCTCTCCGTCCCTGAGAAGGGAAGACCTCAGCGATTGCAGTGGTGTGCTGAGCTGTGAGGGCAATGTGGGCTTAGGGCTGCCACTCTGGAAACACAAGGGGAAGACAACCAGAGAAGGGAGCGCCAAGAGGCAAGCTGAGGGTTCTGAGCAACACTGTTCCAACTGGCGGACCCCCCAAGCTCCATGCTGGTCATTGCTAGTTCTGTCCTGGCTGCTATTTCCATCTTTAAGCCTCTTCACCTCTCTCTTGCCTTAGTTTCCTCAATTGTAATGTGGACTTCAGAACAGTACCTGCCTCCCACGTTTGGGTGCCACACCCGGAAAGTGCTTACAGCAGTGCCTGGCCTCTAGGAAGCTCTCAGCAAATCAAAGCTCACAGATTTCTTTAAAACCTTTCCCCAAAAAACTGATGTTAACATGAGTGGTTTTCTGTTACTTGTATCCCAGAGGCCAGCCCAGCCCGGCCCTGTTCTTTCACTGTGTTGTGGATTCCTGGGAAAGTTCTTTCATTTGAAGGATCGGTTTCCTCGTTTGTGAAATAGCAGGTACCAGAAGGAACCCGGGAGCCCCAGCTGGGCTGTGAGTAATGCCAGAAGTTAATACATTGAAAGTGTTTAGGAAAGTGCCTGGCAAAATTACTCAGGAAATCTGAAGAGATGCCACTGGGGTACTGCCTTTCATTCTGAGAAGAAAGCTGCTTTTAAAAAAGAAATCATCTCAATTGTATAAACATGCAAAAAAAAAAAAGTGACTCTCTTTATGCCTGTCTCTGATTATTTCCTTGATAAAAGCTAGCACATTGGAATTGCAAGGTCAAAGACAGGAATACTCCAAAGGCTTTTTGATTTTAGTGGTGGGTATGGGGGATCGAACTTGGACCCTTTCGCTTACGCTTGGGAGGGAGGTGGTTGAACCAAACGCCTGGACCAGATCAGTATTTCCTACCAAGCTTCGGCAAGGGCTATTTCACAGTCCCGCCAGCAGGGGTCAGGCGAAGCCCTCGTTAGTGTTTGCACCAAAATGGAGTTTATTTTGAGAAATGCTTCCAAATTTATAGTCGGGGAGAAATCTAATTTTTATTGTGCTTTCCTTTGCTAACAGAAACTTTTACATGTTAATTGGTTATGTATATACCTTTTTCCTATTGGGATTTTCATCTTTCCTTATTTTTCTAGATCGAGAATATCTTTGAACATAAGATATGCGGCAAGTATATTTTCTTCCGGTTTATTGTTCATCATTTATTTATTTATGTACCGGGGATCGAGCTCGGGTCCTTGCGCTTGTGAGGCAGGCAGCGGCACCACTGAGCTAAACTCCCATACTGTTTATCTTTTAACTGGATCATCTTCAGTTCTGTTTTGCTTGGTTTGGTTTTTTCCTTCTCTGGGCTGGAAGGGGGGCTGCCATTCAGTGGGGTCTGGTGTAGGAGGGGCGGTCATGGCTCTCGCTCACTCACACAGGGCAGTCGCCCTTGCTCTGAGGTTTTCTTCCCCAGAGCTTCACTTGCTTGTGGTCAACCATGGTCTGGAACTACTAATGGAAAGCTCTAAAAATAAACAATTCATACATTCGAAATTATTGTCCCAAGTAGCATCGGATGGCAGGCTCTGAGTCCCTCCCTCCCAGGACCCGGATTGTACTTCTGTCCAGCATCGCTACACTGTATGCCTTTGTACCCTGGGGCAGAGGGAGACGCAGAGAGGAACAGGGACAGAGGCGGGAGAGAACATCACACAGGTTATTACAGAATATTATCATTGCTCTCTTTG